CCCCAAAACCCCAAAACCCCAAAACCCCAAAAGGGAATAGGGGTATTGAAATAAGGGATTATATGAATTAGGATAAGGAAAGAGGATTTGGGGAAAAGTAAGAGTAGGAGTGGGTTTAGGAGCGTTTGGATGCGTTTTTTGAGTTTGGAAGGGGGAGTTAGGGGTATATTGTGTTTTGTGGTAGGAGAGGGAAATTTGATGTTAGGTTATATTTTAGGAGATTATAAAGTTATGAATTAGAAGAGAAGTATGGCATAACTAGCAATAAATAAATGAAATTAAAAGACGTGAGCTCGTTTAATACTTCTAGTTGAATTTGGTAGCATATCATAAAGAGATTCCAGTAAAATTATTCCAGAATTTTGATAATAAAGTTTGAATTTATCTTTTAATTTCATAGTATTTAATATGCTAGTATTCTTCTAGAAATTTAAAATGAAAGACAACTTAATAATCCTCATGAAAAGAGAGCCTAAAGCCAAGTTAAAGACTTTCATTAGATATAATTTTTGATAAATGGCGTACTTATATTTTCATTATTTGACAGCTTAGGATGACTATAGCTGCTAAAGAATTTTATAAGATTATGGTCTGAAGAGTTTTTGGTGAGCAACATTTATCAATTTTGCCTTGCCCTAATCAATAAAGACAAATACTATTTTATTTTTCAATTTAGTCCTGAGCAAACTTCTGAAAGAGAGGAAACTATAATTTTGAAAGCTTAATGCTTAGTAGCAAAGATTAACTGAATTATAGAAGTTCCAAACCTTGCTTCATTTAAAGTAAAATTTACTCGCATTGCAATACAAACATTCATGATTTTTTACTTTTGTTGGAGACAAATAGAGAAGAACCGAAGGTGGCTAAAAACATAGAAAATTAGAGATAGTGCAGATAACATTTTATAGATACTCTATTATCCTTTCATGGGTTGCTTTAAGCCAGGCTTCCACTCTTTCCCCTATGTTGGCCTTCAGATGTGTGTTTATCAGTGCAGTGAAATTATTGCCTTTGGACTTAGACTGGTTCTTCCATGTTTGAGCTGATTCCATTGCTTCTAAAGTTTTTACACTCTGTGCTCTCAAATTTACAAATGAAGTGACTAAAGTTCTGAAGTATTCTAATGTGATAAGGCTTTCGAATTTAACATCATTATAGTTTTGACTACACTCATGTGTGCTAGTTCCTGCTCTGGTCGCTTCACAGTCATTTTCAAGTTGATCATGGCAGTTGAGGCTTAAAAATTTGAACATAAACTTTGCCATTTCATAAGAATTTTGTGTAGTAATATACACCACTGATAAGTCTTCTAGAGCTTGCAAAATCTGTGTTGAAGATACATTTGCTAATCTTTTATTGACCAACTTATTGTTGTGATGCTTAAACAACATTAAGAAGAACTTCTTGATGGCTCTGATCATTTTCCTTCTGTAGACATCCTTTCTAGTAGCCCTTGTTGATTTTAGAAATAAACTGGAATGAATCGAAATATGGCTCGATGAGACATTTTGGGACTTGTCAATTCATTCATTCTGATGTGAGCTTTCTAGTATGATATCTTCAAACAAACTACTAGAAGGACTAGAAAGCAAGAGTCCACCGGAACCTTGATCTAAATTGCTTTCAAAGCACTCTTTAGGATCAGAAGATGATCTGGAACAAACTGGTAGACTTTTGCCTTCATAATAATTCTCCTGGAGCAATTCTTCTAAGGACTCAAATAGAGGGTCCTGGAGAATATTATCCTATATCAAATGTAAAGAATACAATATTATAGAAATTTTGAAATAAGAACTGTAGAAGTGGTTCGAGTTTATGATGATTCAGTGAGCCAGAATTTGGTTATTCTAAAAGAGTCACCAACGAATTTTCGAAAAATTCCGAGTTACTAACTAAAATTCGAAAATATACGACAGCAAATCAAATATAAAGAAGGTATACAAGTCAAGATTCATATTTTTAAAAGAGCTTCTCTATGTTCATTCAAGAGTTAGAAACTTAGCCAATGTTGACATTTCAAATGGAATAAGCAAAAAATCTAAAGTACCATTATTTTCATGGATCCATAATTTCAAGGAAGTTCTCAAAATCTTAATTTTTGCCCTTAAGTATTCATGAAATGTAGGGATACAAAAATATAGAGATAATAAAGCTGTTAAAAATATTTGTAAAGAAATTAAGCAATAAAAGTGACGAAGATACCTACTTCATAGACACTCTGAAGCTTATTATCCCTCTGAGACAGATCAAATATTTGTATAAAGTCTTCCATTTTATATTTTATTAAATATATATTCCTCGAATTTTAAATATCCTAAAATCAACCCCACCATCCCTTCCCGGGGTTTTGGGGTTTTGGGGTTTTGGGG